CCTTTACTTTGGGCCCTTAATTACAGGGTGAGAATTTAGCTAGGGATTTTATTTTGAAGATACTGAAGAGAACACCAAAACTATAACTGACAACAATACTCAGGAGTATGTCTTTCACTTCAAAGACAGAGAAATTTTGCATACTAATCACTGGCATTTTGGAAGATGCAGAGTTATAGAAAGCAAAGATTCATAACAACTGTGGCTGAGGTTGTGAAACAGCAGCCTTTTAATGAGAACAAGGAGTGTGATTTGGTATTCTATTTTAACCAAGGAACAACAGTTATCTCAGTTAATTCACAGTTATCAGTAAGTGAGGAGTCCCTTTTCTCCTGTACCCTCCAATGCATATGCAAACTGAAAATAGGGTGTTTCTCATTTCATTACACATAGAAATTTCACTGTGCACACATCCCTAAACATGCCCAAGCACTTCTTTCTCTTTTCCTGACTTGAACATAGGCACTACAGTCTGAAACAAGAGCAACAGAAATGTTGCCCAATACTGGTGCCATGCAACAGAAAAATACAGATCAGACTTACTCTGCAAATAATGTTTGTATGACCACAGAATTTCCACAAAAAGGAAATTAAAAAAATTAATTTAAATCCTGGACCCACACAGCAAAGGTTCACCAGTCCTAGACTACTTTACACTGAGTAAATAGAAAGGACTTCTCTATGAAGACTGCCTGAAAAACAACCTACACAAGCCCATAGCCACATAACACTGGAAATGTTAAGACCTGTATTTACATGCAGTAGTTATAAAAAATGAAAGCTAATTGAACAATAAAGGGGAAAAATAAGAAACATCTCAAGACACAAGCCTCCTTGACAATGAAAGTGTGATGTTCAGGTCCTCCATACTGCAAATCAATTGTTCCTGTCATTTGAACTGGGGATTTCCTGAAAGGATTCCTTCATCTGGTGCCAACTACACAGCACTGAGTTGTCTGCATGCCATAGAGGAACAGTGAAGGTAGAGCAGTGCCATATCTGGAAACTGGGAAAATTCAGAGCTTATCAGTGGCGGTGACATACCACTGCCACCAAACAGGGAGAGCATGACTGGAGGCGAGCAGGTCTCCCCGTTCTTTTGTCTCTGTCCACAATGATGCTTCTCTTGAGCCCTCCAGACTGAATCTAACAGAGGATCATTCACAGACCTCTGGTTGAAGGTTGCCCATTGTGGGTCAGGGGATGAGCTGGTATCACAGAAGGAGACAAGGACTGGGGGGATCCACCACAGAGCAGGGTGTGTCCTGGAATCCCACCAAGGACAGAGGCTGAGCAATAGCTCATCCCAATATTGCTCAGGCCATCACAGAACCAACAGACTCTGTAATTTGGCTGTGGGAGGAAAGAGAAGTAAAGGACCATAAAGATCTGTAAAGCACTTTATTACAGGACTCTCCCTCCCCCTAGTAGCTCAGTATCTCCCCATGGTGGAATGGGAGTGTTTTATTTTTGTTTTCCTTTCCATTAGCGGATGACCTTTGCTACAGTTAGGTTGATCTGCTGCAGAACCAACATCCGCCAGCTTCCAGAGCTTGTGCTTCCTCAATAGCAGCAGATACTTGCTGCTGCTGCAGTTTCCTTATTTAATCATGTCTCCATAAATCAAAAGTGACCAAAACTGTTAAAAAGCATTTGGGTGAGAACTCGGAGCAGCTGAAGAGAGACCAAGACTGAGTCATTGCCTGATGCAATTTCTGTAAACACAGTTGACCTCATTGTTGTGTTAATGTCACCCTCTCCCCCCAAAAAAAACCAAACCCCTAAACCCAAAATTAAACAAAAAACTATAACAAAACCCCAACAAAAAACCAAACCAAACCGAAATATTTTTAATTGCATGAACATTGCTGTGAGTACGTCACTAAATGCCAAATGAAAGATGTATAGAGGAGCATATTTCTCTTGGAAACTGACCAAATGAACATCTGGTGGCTGAGTCTTCTGGAAAAATCCATCAGAGGATAATGACAGCAGCATTAGATGCACCACCGTAATTAATACTATGTTTCGATGGGTTTAAACATGAAAAGTGCTGAATGCTGCTGGGAGATGCTTTCTCAGATCACACCTAGTTCAGTGAAGAGTGAACCACTGATCGTTGGAAAGATATACCAAGGAAAGGATGACGCACCACTCCTACACTGATAAGCAGTCACTTCTAGCTGGAGTCAGCAGGACACAACAGAGGGACATCTGGTCTGACCCTGTATGGTATTCATTACCTTTCAAAACACTTTGAAATTATCAATAAAGAATTTTAAAGCGAAACACTGAGGATTAAAATGGGAAAAAATACCAAATTTTAGACTGTTCCTGCTGCTGAAAGGGTAGGAAAGACTCTGCTGTACTTTCAGGGTTTGTTTTGTTTTGCTTAATAAAGCTCATAGGATGTCCATAATAAAAAGGGACTTTCAAGCATATATATACAATTGGTTTTAATGGTGGATTTCAACAAGAAAACAGGATTTTAATACTTAGTATGATCCCTATGTTGTGGCAAGCATGACTGTTATAAAATACACAGTTTTTGTATTAGATCCACTTGGTTTATTTCACAGCTGAATTATGGCCCCAGTACAAAATCACTGAAATTCTACTGAAAAAAGAGAAAACTCACCTGCAGTGAAAATCCCACCTGGATAAATCACTTTGATACCCCTGCAGTGTAGGTACAGAACAATCACAGAAATCAAAGAATCATAGGAATATTAGTAAAAGTGAAATTTAAGTGCTTCACCCCAGAACTGCCATAAATAATAAACAAGTCATGATTCTAACCAAACCTCGAAAAGCTCCAAGGGCCTCTGGCCAATCTGTTCCAGTATTATCATACCTACATAGGGGAAACATTTCTCCTAACATGCACTTGGAATCTTCTCAAGGCACCTCTTGCTGTTGTTGCCCCTTGCTGGATTGTCACTGAGAAGTTTGGCTCAGCCCTTTCTTAATTACCCTTCTTGCTCTCCTTCACACTGAAGAGGTAGAAACGTGACAAATGGCACAGCAAAATCCTTCAAGAGTCAGCATCACTAAGCAACCTTTCATCCACAATACAGTTTGAAGAAATAAGACTTTTCTACTCACTTGTGTGTTCTAAACTGAATTTTTCCTAAGCCAAAAACTACCCTGAAACATATCTGAAAAGTTTTCCCATAAATTATACAAATAAGTCATTCGGGTAATATTAATAAAGAAAGCACATATAAACAGGGCTTTTAAAATATACTTTTAACAGGATACATATCCAAGAATACTTTTTACAATTGCTAAAGACATGGTTTTAAATCATTAATATCAAATAAAAGCACTATAGTCACAAGATGCAGAGACACGTTATGGAAAAATCTCACTCTGTCATCTTTCAAAAAAAAGTGTCAGCAGCCCTAATGCCAGATTAAACAGTGTTTGTCCTAGCACAGCCAGCACAAACTGCATACTGTGAGCTAACCCAAGTATCCTTTAGCCAGATCAAATTTACCCTGAGTGCTTTGATAGCTCATAGATCGGATATTAACGATGGTGAAACCACAGCCCACATTGTCAGACAACTACATAATGCAGCTCAGTGATTTTATAGATACGTGATTGTACCTGCATAAAACCTCCAGCATCTGTGGAATGTGCCTTACAAATGTGCTGAATCCTGAAACTCAGGTAGACATTTTAACATTCACTTTCAGAACCAATTTTTGATAGTATTAAAGTTGTGGGTAGCTCCTCATAGCACGAAGTACGGCTCAGTTAATCAAATGAAGCATTCTTAAATATTTAGGATAGCTTATAGACTGCCACATTTAAAAATTAAAATGGCTTATTTCATTACGCAGAAATCAACTGAACACACGGTTCTGTCATACAGCAAGTAACTCAAAAGAATTATGGCTAAGTGGTTTGCACAGTCTATATTTAGTGATTCTTACTTCCAAATACTTAGACGCTAGATCTGTCCTTAAAGTATTCTTAAAAGGATTGGCAAGTATGTCTACGTGTAAAATATGATAATCCTATGTTAATTCTCCTCCTTACCACTCTGTAGATGCCTGGGAACAAACCATTGTAAGCATTAAGCTTGCTTGAGTTTGCACCGCATTTGTATTCATTAACCAGATTATTAGTGAGAGCATTTTAGAATTCTCCGACTTTTCCAATAGCTGTGTATGTACATTCACTGCCTGTATTATTTATCTGTGTGAGTGTACATCTACCCACCCATCCGTCTCCACTCCTGCATGCATACAGATCAATATGTGTCCCTGTATATTTATGTCTTTCACCATTCTCAAGACATTCAGTCTACTTCTCTGGCACCAGCTCTGGGAAACTGCTGCTTTAGCTAATGCCCTTCTGACTGAAAACAGAGCTCCATGCATCATTGACAGGAACCAAGGCAAAAAAGTAGAACAAACAGATGGAGATGGAAGAAAGGGAAGTATTTATGCTAAATTCGAGAAAAATAAAGGGATTAAGGGGATGTCACAGACTAGATGATTTAAGAAGGGGATTTCTTCTGAAGAGGGGATATTTCTCTGTTAGAATAGAAATCCATCATGTATTCTAACCAGGGTTAATTCTAACATCTAGAACAAATCTAAATCTTAAACCCAAGATTAAGAGTTGGCTTGTGGTGTCTATTGTATCTGTCAATGGCTTTAAAAACCAAGGAGAAAATATTTTATGTTTGGATTCAGCCAATATAGTAATATTATTTATAGGCTGCCCCATGAGCAATATTAATTTTACATGTTTTTCAGTACTCAACATAGTATTTTCAGTAATTTGAATTATTTTAACGTGTTCAAATTTATTTTCCATCCTCTTTTAGAGACACTGGATTAAGAAGCCAATCTCCCTTCTTTTCCCTGTCACTCTGCATTTGTAGTTGTAGACTAAGCCTAACCCTATCAGCCATGCATCTGTAGGGCTATCAGAAGCAACATTCTAAACTTTCTGAGCTAACTGTAGTGGAACTGGGTGATCTTTAAGGTCTCGTCCAAACCAAGCTATTTTATGCCTCTCTGGCATTCAAGCACCAGACCTCACATCTGATGATGATGTTGGTCTAACACAGACCAACTGTCCCAGTGCTTTTATCTCCAAGGCGTCTGACCACTTATGAATACCCCCACCCTTACTTCAAACTAAACCAGAGCATGAAGCAAGACAAAGAAAGCCCCATGGCCATGGTGATCTCATGAAATCATACCTGCCTCATATTTAAATCAGTGATTGAGCTCCTCTCCTAATGTGCCAGGTATTTCCCAGAGAAAATGGCTAGTGAATCCAGGGAATTTCTCCTCTGCTACTACTTTATCCTTCAGGCACATGTAGCACTGTGCTTACATGCAGACTCAAAAGTTATACCAATATCCATGCAAAAACCCCATACTGTTACATGATAGCTTTTAATCTGATCCCATGCTTAACACTTCCATGTAAATCTCTAGTGCTATCAGGATAAACATCTCAGAAAACAGGACTTATTTATTTCTAAGTAAATCATTCTTTTATTCTCCACCTGTCAGGTATAAGTGAAAGACAGAAGCTGAACCACATGCTGAATAAGATGATTTGGGTTGCACTGTCAAACTTATCACCAACTTCTTGTATGAGTTGGAAGAGGGCAGTCAGTTCTGAGGTGCTCCCTGCATACAGAAATCCCCCCAATGGCATTTTAATGGGAGGAATGCTGGCTTTGCTATAAAATTCTGCTCTGAATTTACAAAGAAAAGGTGAGATTTACTTAGGCTGTAGTTGTGTTTGCTATAGGGTATTGCACATCTAATACCTGGAAGGTAAGAAAAGCAGAGAGAAGCCGTAAGACTGCAGCAAACTGAGTGTAATGATAACAACTCTGGTGATGTTCGAGAGAAAGCACCAGCATTACCACCTGCACAGCACGAATGCAACGGGGGAATCCAGGGTATTTACAGATGTTCATCAAACAGTAAAGCCTCATTGCACTCCACTTGGCAGAAAAACAATTCTATTCGCATTTCTCATGATTCTTTTATCATTGACTTGGATTTAGCAGAGTATACTAACATTTCATCCCTGATGAAGGCACAAGACTGGGAACATTGGCATATTTTGTGAGTATAATTCATTTTTTTGTTCTGGTTGGAATGCAGCGCAGTGCAACGTTACTGCTGGGTGAGCACCTGTAGTTAGAAGGCTTGCTCAGAGCGCCCAAAGCATGTCAAACTGTTCCCTGAAAGGAGATTTGAAAAATGAGCATTTAAAAAAAAAAAAAATTAATCCTCCTGTGCACAAAAATAAATAGAAAACTATTCTTTCAGTGACAGATGTCAAAAAGACAAAATCAAGAATTTGAATCTCTTGGGGATGAATTTCAGCTTTGTCTGTAGGACAAACTAAGGCTTATCTCAAACATCGTAGGATCCAGTTCCTCAAAGGACCAAAATACATACTTATCCAAGTTTCTCAAAGTACAAAAATGCATAAAAGTCAACAGGAGCAGTGCAAGGAATGATACTGAAACCCTTTTCTCTGAGATACATTAATTTCACTTTTACGGAAAAATGCCATCTAGAAATGAAAGGCTTTTATTTTAAACTGTCAAAACATTCAATTTAATTTGCAAAATGTCCAAATATGATTTGGCTGAAAATATTTTAGCCAGTTTTCATTTACAGAAGCAGTAGCACATCTTTTAAAGCATGTTCTGAAAATTTGACATAAAATTGCCAACAGCCTTTACCATCATGAAACTCCTTTTCCAGAGAATATCTGTTCCATGAGTAAAAGGACCCAAGGACTTTTTTTTCATGCCAGAATATTAAAATTCTGCTTTCCTAAAAAAAACATGCTCACAGCCACTCCTCAAAAAATAAATTCTAAAAACAACACATTTAATTTTTGTCTTCTCCTGTATTGTCCTCTACTATTGAAGCCCAACAGTCACACTAATGAAATTGAAGCTCATTCAAATTAATTTTGCTTGTATAATCTGCTTTACCTTGTCTTTTGCTACTGTTGACATTGTGAAACATGAACTCTGTGTTGGTGAACTGTAGTAAAATAACATGTAAGTTACATGTTCTTGAAAATTTCCAAGTTTCCTTCTTTTTGTTCTAATCCCTAGATGATGCTATCTCTCATTAATTTACATAAAATTTCCTTTCCTCTTTTACATAACATACAGTTTGTCAGTCTGATACTTACGTTCTAGATGATTCCCCATTTTTGTCTCCTTCCACTGCTCTACCATGCAGTTTATTCTCCAGGCATTTTACTGTTCTAGCCCATTTATGCTTCTTTCCTGCATTACCTTTGACATTTCACCCCTTCATGGTTCTCCTTCACTGATTTCCTTCCACATCTTTATCCAAGCTGTGATTAAACAATATCAGATACATCAAAAAGGGTGAAAAAACATAACTTCATTTTATCACTTCAGCTTCATCCACAAAGCAAATAAACCAACAAAAACAAAACAAAAACAATAACAGCAAAACCAAACAAAAACAACAAACAAACAAAACCCACCAAAACCCCAAACCAAACCATAAAAATAATTAAGTATCAAAGGCTAAATTCCATAAAGCTGATAAAGGTGATGGATAAATTTCTGAGACAGGGGTGACTTACATATATCAGAATTCAGAATAAGGCCCTCTGTGTACCCATACATTAACTTCACATGTCTGTTCAGCATGTAAATTCCCTCTTGCAGGTTTACAGAAAATAGAAAACAATACTAAAAATCAAAGCTTTGGCCAAATGTTTTATATACCAAAATAATGCTGCTAATTAACACTGAAACAAAAAGTGCCTAGAAGATGAATCTGGAATTCTTACGTAATAAAGCATTCCTCCATGAAGGCTATCAAGCACAACCCATAATATTTTTACCAGTATATGTCTACATGAAATTATTGTATTAGTCTAAAAATAACTGCATGAAATATGCTGGTTTTTATGTTCATATTGCACCAAGGTTCTTGGTATAAGAATCACCTCATTAATGCTTCAGAACACAGTATAAATACTCATTTCAGAAAAAATTATAAAGAATAAACCAAGTGATAATGGTGCACATGGCTAGTCTAATATACATTCTGATTACCTAAATGCAGTGACAAAAGAACAGATTATTTCCCTCTCATTTTTTGCAATAATCTCATGTAGTTTAAATTATCTACATCTATCAACTCCACACACTGGCCAAGGCTGAAACAGTGTTGACCAGATCCACAGAAGTCAATTAGTTATGCCAATTTGCTCCAGCTGAGAATCGATTCTCGGTTGTCTTTATGCTTCCTATAGAATATTCTGTAGGAAGCATTGCTTTAATGAAGCTTGGTAAGCATGTATGGGAAATGTCAACATGAAATTCCTTCTCATCAGCTTTTGGACTTCTTAAAATAGACGGTTTAAAAGAATCCAATCCACTACCTAAAAAAAACATAGGTTTTGATTAAAATTGCAGACAAATCTAAAATTAATTCTAAAGGAAGGGGCTTCAGCATTATCAGTTTAATAAAACTATTATCTTTCTTTTCCTTTGGCAGGTTTTCCTAAATTTGCAATTAAATAATTTAAACCATTCTTGTCCAGATGCTGTTGATGAGAAACAATCACAAGAAACAGAGCAAACAAAAGAAAGATCATAAAATACATTAACTTTTACTAGCCATGCTGCTGTGCATTAGCATTTTTAATAATGACCTCATTACCATTTAGTTCAACAAGCAAACAAAAACTGTTTATTTGATAATTTATTTAATCTAAAATAACGCAGCCTTTTTTATGTGTCCTTGTTATGAGCTCACTGACGTTAAAGGCACCGCTACAATCAGTTAAGTAATTATCATAGGATAAAAGCTTTTACCATGAAAAAGTTTTGTTTGAAAAAGCATGAACTGCGATTCTCATTGATAGCTTTCACCAAGTGCAGGATTCAGTACATTGTAGCACAAAGGCCTAGATTATCTCTCTCTGTTAAAGGCTTAAAATTCTACAACCAGACCATGCCAGTTACCAGTATCAGATTATGATAACAAGATCATGTTCAGTTATAAAAACAAGTGTCTAAACTTTTCTCATGTCACTTTCTATCTAAGTCCCATTGCAGTTGTGAAAGGACCCATCTGAATGTGTGTAGAAGCTCATTTTAAAGCTAGCTCTTTGAACTGGATTCATGGGGTATTTGCATAAGAAGATTTGGGTAAAAAGAATGGGCTGGTGCTGCATCTGCCCATTAATATGCCTGCTAATTCAGCACATTGTAAGCCTATTGATGTATCACAAAAGGCTCAAATTCAAGGACAGTTATCCTATTGCTATTGTTAGCGTTTGAATTCAAGTAATATGTTCACTATAGGAATACAGTTGTTACAATTAGATATTTTTCTATAATGGTATAAAGAACTGACGACAATCAGAATTACAATAATGCTGATAAAACTTTAGAATTCATGAATTCTATTATTTTAAAAGATGCAGGTGCTGATTAATTTTGCTTTGCATAATACTTGGACATTGAGTGTTGGAATACTTAAAGAGCAGCAGCAAATTGAGGCAATATAACCTATCAAAACTGGCAGTCTCCCTTTAGTGCTAATGCACATTTATCTTGCTTATGAGAGTTTTAATAAAAAATTAAAATACTAAACTGAGTCGCAACAGAACAGAGGAGACCTACAACGTGAGCGCAAGAGTGGGTATTTTAATCTTGCTTATGAAAAATGCAAAAGCATCACTTGTGCTATCAGGGGATATCCTACACGGAACATTTTTATGGTGAATATGAATTGCTTAAAAACACTGTATACTCACAAATGGAAAAAAGAGCAGAATCAGTGATTCATGCAGGAAGCACAGAGCAGCCACTGCACCAACTCCACAGTGGATTCAGAGCAGACACTGAGGCACGCAGGCAGATAAAAAGCTGCTAGCTGAAGTGCTGTAAGTTTTTAAAGCACGCAGCACAAAGGAAATGCTAAAGAACAGGATAAATGGAAACAAGTGCAGAAAACAGCAAATTAAGTCTAGTTAAACTTAGTGCTTCAGGTTCCTGAGTTTGAGTGTGTTTAAGACTACAGTGCGTGGCTCACGGGGGCAAAGCGAGGGGAGATGGTGTGGCAGTGATGGGTTTTGTGATCGGCCTGTCCTGTGTGACAGGGTTTTGTGATCGGGCTGTCCTGGATCACAGGGTTTTGTGATCGGGCTGTCCTGGATCACAGGGTTTTGTGATCGGGCTGTCCCGTGCTGCGGCCCAGGAGAAGGCCGGAGAGCCGCGGCCCCCGCGCTCCCACACTGCCGCATTGTCCGGCCGCTGGGCCAGGGGGCACCGCCACATTTTTCTCACTCCGCGTCCCTCAGAGAAGACATCAAAGACCGGAGAGATGTGCTCTTTGTGTTGTTTGGTCTCTGACTCTCAACATGTGGTTTCGCAGGCCCAAACATCGGCACCTTTTAACCTATTCTGTTCAGCTTAGGCCTCAGCTCCATTTGAGCATTAGGGAAACTATAGTAACCGATAATCTGCCTGTTCCTGAATAGAAACTATGTACCTTGTCACACAAGAGCCTGAGGATCACCATTCGGGACAAGTTCCTTTACAGGCTCTTGGCTTTCTTTGCTGGGGCCCGGCCTGTCCTGCTGAAAAGGTGTCAAAACCCTTTGCCTTTCTACGATGGGGGATCTGTGTTAATGTTAATTTATATTTAACAAATGGGATATTGTCCCACGGAATGTATCAGTATTTGATGATCTATTACAAATGTTTTCATCAAGTCATAAATGTGGGCCCTTGACAAAAGGCGAAAGGTCTCTGGAGGGAGCAGGACGGCGGTGGGGAAGGCAGGGACCTGTTGCACTGTGTTTGTGTCTGTGTGTGTGTTTGTGTCTGTGTGTGTGTGTGTTTGTGTCTGTGTGTGTTTGTGTCTGTGTGTGTCTTAGTGTCTGTGTGTGTGTGTTTGTGTCTGTGTGTGTGTCTCTGTGTGTGTGTTTTTCCTGCAGACCCAGCCTGATGCAGGTGGTGACAGCAGATCTCCCACCCACCCCAACACCCGTGCTGGGCACCAAGGCCAAGTGACCTGTCCAAACTCGGCAGCAAAGTGAGCAGCAAAGCCTCCTCCCAGGCCCGAGTCTGCTGAATCAAAGGCTTTCTCCATCAGCAAGTTGCAGAGAACTTTGTTAGTCGTTGGTTTTATTCATGTATGTATTTTGTAGAGATCTGATCTCCCACTTAATGAGCCTCCCCCCAGGCACAGGGAAAAGCCTTATCACCAGTCCCATTTTTCACTCACTCAATCTCTAATCCGGCACTGTACTGTCTTGTTATTAACAGGAAAAACAACAACAACAACTATGTATATCGTGTAGATCAGAGGCAGGAAAGAAAGGAACAAATGTCAAGGGTTTGAAGAAGCAATTCCAAACCAGCTTCATTTCATCTCTGTCACTCTCTCCTGACTGTCACGCAACAGCCGGCTGCTAACACATTTCTCTCCACAAGAAAAAATGACATTTCTGCTTTCTTTATAATAGTTTAATATTAATAGGGAGGGGAGTTAAATTGTTGACACTGCAACCAAAATACCGTACTGCAAACCAAAGTATTTGGTATGAAACTCAAGACCTTCTGCATTAAGCTCTCTCACAGTGACCTGACATAAACTGGCAACTGGCAGCCGTCTGCTTTTGGCAGCTTGGCATATTTGGTCATTTATTGGGTGCATGTGAAGATCAAATGGGTTAAGATTCTTCTCCTTAAACAGCAGGGAAAAGAACATCAAAAAGGTGTAAATTTCATTTCCCCAGTTTTGATTAAGTCAAGCATGAAATGAAATGTAATACTCTCAAGTGGCAAGGGTTTATACTATTGATGTTGTTACTTCTGCTTCACAAAGCCCAATCAGCCGACAGCGAGTTGAACAAGCTAACAGAGTTTCAGGGTGGCCAGATGGAGGGTTTTTACTATGGTTGAAAAGACAGCTTAGTGCTTGCCTCTTCAAGCCAAGTCAATGCCAACTGTGTGAAATCCTGGCCATTCTACCCCTTCTTTTTTTTTTCTCGTCTCAGTGCTGGTGGCTAGCACCATACAGACCTGATAAAAAAACAAACCCTTAAGCAAAACAAGGCGTAGAATTTATTTTTTTGTCAGAAACATTGTTTATCTTCCCCTCAAAGTGCAGAGATTTCTGAATTCCTGATGCAGACGAATCTTACTGCAGGATTTAAGTTTCATTCCAATTTAAATGGGAAAAATCTATTGCATTTAAATGCTATCTGAAAGGAGGCCTTTGCAAGATTTTGGTAGTTTCTCTGAGATTAAAATCATAATGCTATTTGCTTTCAATAGTGTGGTGAAGCAAAAATCTACTCGCGTGCTTTGGAAAGAAATGAAGATTTAAATTGTACCTTATTCATCCATTAAAGGAAACTAGAGTTAATTCAGAACACTGTGAGATACACATTGAGAAAGTCTTTAGATCTAGATACAAAAGTAACAGGTCTTAAATTGAGTGTGGTCTTACTTCGTTAGGAAATTTGTCCTTTTTTTATAGGTGCTTTTTCAGGCCCCTTGTTCCCACTACATTCTCAAATTTAATGCTCTTGCCACTATACATCTGGACTAGAATAGAGTGGCTTTAGTAAAGACTTAATAGAATCTTTAATGCTTCTAACAATCCACTCCCATTGAACTGCATTAAGTAGATATTATGGAAGGACAAAGAGCTAAATAGCTCAACATCAACCTCATTAGGCATGCAGGCAGGCCTTGAACCATTTTATGGGCAAGCCTATTGTGAGTACACTCACCAGGTTAGCTTTAAATTGCAAATGATACCCTGAAAAGGGAAGAGAAGTTTTGGAGAATGGCCTCACAGAAAGAAAATCATTTTAGGCTATAAGAAAATGAAAGGCATTGTTAAAATTGCTCTGACCGTAGCAAATGAAATACATCATGGACTTGAGAGGCTGAATGCTACACTTGAGGGTTTTTTGTTGGTGCTTTTTTTTTTTCCATTTAGGAATGTGGTGTACAGCAGAATATAAACAATATACAGTATGTAAGGCTTAATAAGGGTGGCTCAACATACTCTCCTTTGTCTAAAGTTAAACAAATGATAAGAGCATAATAATTAAGTGGAAGAGGAAAGACAAAAACCATCCCATTTATCCCATTTATCCCATTTGAATAAAAGACAAAGTATGAAGAATGTTATTTATTGAAACTTTCCAGTATTGCACTGCTTAATCAATAAGAATTCATTTAGTCTTAGCAGTTCTGCATTCAAAATTTTTATATTAAAAAAAAAAAGTCTCTCAAGAATTGTTTGCAACTGCAAAGTGCTTTAACAACTGACATTATGATGCTGCAAGTCTGGGAACATATTCCCAAGCAGAGCCCTTCTCTGTCACCTTAGTGGATGAATAATTGTGCCTTTGCATATTCCTTGTCATAAATGGCAGGAATGAAGGGACCCTAAGGACCGCACTGGCAGGATTGGTGCTGTACAAGCAGAGTAAATTAAAACAAGGATTAGAGCAAGTATGATTGGGGATGACAAGCAGGGCAGTTGTCGCCACACAATGTGCCTTTTTGCCCATATGGTCTGTACCAAGCTTACACAGCACAAACCCTCTAACATGGATGCTTATTAAAGCATTCCTTCTTGATCAGGACATAAAGTCCTTAAAGCTTCATGTCACAGGAGAAAAACTGTGTTTTTTTCACAACTCAGGCAGCAGCCTCAAGCACTATTATTTATGAAGTTCTACATTCAACTGCCCTATCTTTACTTTTCCTTAGATTAATATACAAGAAAGCCCATAAATGTGAAAGATTGAGGTTACAGTCTGTAGGCATAGTTATGCATTGTATAGGTTATTAAATGTGATAGTGAATTAACTGACAATTATATTTTAAATAAAAATCAGACACATGAGATATTTCAACAGTGCCTCCCAAAGCACAGATTTGCAGCATACACAGACTATGGGTGATTTTTAACTCTGTTTAACTGGATAATGAAGGTACATAAAATTCATGCTAGGAAAATATTTGAGTGATCATATATGCAATATTATGAGCAAAAAAAGAAGAGTAGGGCAACTTTCTTACAGCTTACAAATGCAGAATAAAGCAATTTTGTTTCTAAACTCTTGTGTTGTCTCACATGACATATCTAATTTTCTGTGCCTTAGTTCCCTCATTGGTAAAATTGAAATAATTACACATTATATTACACATATATTTATACCAAAAGCATATGCATGTTAGTATTTCTTTTTTGCTGTTTATTTCCCTTTTATTCAAGGCTCACACCACTGGTCCTGATTTACAGAAGGGTACCTAGATCCCACAAATGCTTGTGAATAATTTTAAGTCTCTGAGAAGAGTTCTGCCTAAAGTCAGATACTATTGGAATGGTACTTGCTCAGTCATGCAATAAGGTATGCAGATAGTGGTGAGAAAACAGAAATATAAGACCTTTTATTTAAATTTTGTTCCTCTGTGGTCTATTATACAGCTCTGTCTGACCTCAACACAGCATTAAATTTAGGACATTCCTTCAAGCTTGATCTTTTTCTCAGTCAGAGAAGCCAGTTCTACAGCAGTAAGGAACTTAGGAATTCTCTAACATGGAGTAGCACACAACATTAAACAGGAATCAGCAAAATCACTGGTGGTTAGGATGCTACAGGCACGTTCAGGAATCATCCAAGAGCTCCTGCTAAACCATTATTGTTTCTTATAGAGGTTTCTTATAGAAAACTGGAGGCCTTTTGGTGACAGTCTCACAGTTTAAAGCAGGACCTAGTAAATTATCTTTGATGATTTTAATTCCTCCCAAACTTGAGCCACCAGCATATAAAACATTTTTTAGAACATATGTTGTTTCTTGCTAACACTCCTAGCTTTGGACCTCTGGATTATTATTATTGTTTCTCAAAACCAAGCCTTCCTTGTTTTTTGTAGATTCAATGAAATGAGTATGAAAATATTCCCTGCTGTGAGTGAACTGTAAGAACCAACTTTTCCCACTTATCAATAAATCTTGGCTGCTGAAGAACAGGCCAAGCTCCAAGGATGCACTCCAACTCCTTCCTTTAGCAGGTGGGCAACTCTGAACTTTCTTAAACAGAGTCTCCACTGTGCTGATTTTATTGCAACAATTCCTAGATCCTATATATACACACATGCCTTTTTAATGCAGAACTTTAAGCTGGCAGAGCACAAGCTGAAAGATGTGGCTAGCAGCATCTAAGTGATATGGGCTGCTATATGGAGTCCCTCCTATCTTTAACTTACAAGTGTCTTAGACTAAGTCTCTTCCCCAAAACGAATCCACAGATTTTTTCTTTTCCTCACAGTTTCTCTTGGCATGTAATTACTGCCACAAATGCTAAAGAGGATCCCAATAACCTGTTAGCTTTACTTGGCACTTAAAAATCATAGACAGTTCTGCTAGACATGAACAGATGCTACTACATTTACCTCATGTTTGTGTCCAAAAATCCTTGAACTATTATATTTTTTATTTCCAAAGCTTTTTGACTTAGACTACTCTGTATGAATCTCACATTGAATTAAAAATTATTAGGAATTGGACTTGGCATTATTTGGATGGATGTATTCATATTTATTAGGATGGTATCTTACTTCATGCCTAGATTTTCTTAGGGACTGAAACAAATTAGAAAATACAAGGTACACCATTTTATGGGTACAAGGAACAATTGCACTACTAACCATGAATATATTTTGTATCTTAGTTTCATCTACTTTACAGCAGTATTTGTGCTTAATCTGCAGGAGCATGGATACAGGAAAGAGTGGCCCAGTAACTAAAGCATCAACCCTAAGATTTGGGAAACCAAATTTAAATCCCTGTTCTAGGAAAAGGTCTTGATAATTTAGGTCAAGATTCTCAAATGTAGTTAGAAAACACTCCTGTTAAGCTTCTAACTCCCAATGAAAATAAGAAATATATATATTTTTTAAAATGTATTAAGCACCTAAAAAAATGTTTGAGGATCAAGACTTGAGACTGTCTGTGCTCCAGGTCTCTGTCTGTGAAACAAACATGATTGCATTGCCCTACTGGGTAGGGATATTCTGTATCTGTACACAGTCTTGGAAATGCTCAAGGTTATAGATACAGGAACCAGATAAGGACTGTAAATATGATAATTTTAAAGAAATATGGTTTAGCATAATTCTCTTCCTATATCAATATGGTTGAAAGGGAAACAGCTTTTTAAAAATGCTATGTTGAGGGCATTTTTTTTCATACTTGAGAGATCTGCCTTTTGGAAGCTTGAATTTTGGTGGTTTTATTTTTTCAAAAACTCTGTAAATGCTGGTATGATCATTATTTTAAGCATTATTTTAAAAATTCCTTCTAATACTTTTGAAAGTTCTTTTAGAAATAAAAAGGAAATAAAACAAAGGAATAAACAGATTTTAACTGAAATATTTTAGACAGCTAATCAAGCTTTCAAAATGTGTATAATTTCCTGTATATCTGTTCATATATGGAACTATTGACAACCATGAAAAGAGATTCAATGAAGTGAATGTGAAGGACTTCTTATTTCACTCTTCTCACTTAAATTCTAGATTGAGGCTACAAAATTAAATCAAACAATTACACACTCGAGGATATTTCATATGAAGTGACTTCTGCTCAGTCTGATCTAATCTACACTGAAATGTAAAACAATCAGTCTCTAAAAACTTTAAAGTATCACAAGCTTCATTGACTTCATATTACTTAACACTTTAAATGTATTTGAGAGTAGGCCAGGAGAAATTCCGCCAAAGGAGGACATCAGCCTTAATGGCAAAGTGATATCACAGTACAAAACTTTAAAGTAATTATTATTGCTCTGATTTTAAAGGAAATTTCCCCCTGCACTCTCCCCCTCATCCCTCAAGATTAAATAACATTTTTCAGCAGGCTTCACACATTTTGGACCTGTTGAGTAGGTATCCTGAAATTCTTGTACCTACTGATGTCACCATTCCTCTGAAGAGTGTGAGCTATGTGTGACTGGACAAAGCAGTGCCCCACTCCTGCAAAGGCATGCTGAAATATACAGTTAAAGTGATGCACTGCAAATTGTCCCATAAATCTGAGTGTGCCTGTAAGTGTTTGTGGGCTTGGAGCCTAAAGGAACATTCACCTACAACTTCCACTGCATTAGGACTGAGCTGAGGTGGGTGACGACTGCCAACTGGCTTCCCCCAGGGTCCACCTAGAGACAAAGCACAGATGCCCAAATACCTCTTTTTCATTTAATTAGTAAAGCTTTCATGTGATACTTTGACAGAATTTTTCCACCTGTCCTAACAGTTACAAAACACATATTTCCATCACTTTGCTTTTCAGCACTTCCACTGACTTAAAACAAACCTTAAGCAATGATAAGTCTTAAGATAAGTGAAAAGACAGAAGACAACTTGAACACTTATTCTTTTTTTCTTTTTTTTTGTGGAGGAAGAGATAATTAACGCAGTGTTCAATGATCTTTTCCAAAACTAAACAGAAATACAATAATTAAAACCTTTAACTGAAATACCTATTTACATTTTAAAGTAAAATATATATGACATAATAAATGAATCAGCAGCTTATTTGTTTCAGTGAGGGCCGACTGAAATGGAAGCTTAGTTTTTCAGTGGAAGTGAAGGTAGGTCCTATCATTATTAAAAGATAAACATGTAGGTACTGAGAAATCTAATTAAATTTTGTTGAGTAATCAGGAAGTCCCTCATGAATATCCTCTGGGGTAGGCCCTAATGTGAAGAGATCTCAATTTTGTGGTTAAATAATTTGAAGAGATTAATTAGTAAAGAATAAGCATTAAAGACAATAATGAGAAGATAAAGGTAAGTTTTTTTACACTTACCAGTTTTATAGCTCTAGCTGATGAAAAAGCTTTCATTGTGTAAAGTGACTGTTAACAAGGTACTTGTCTGAATTATTTTTAAATATTTCATTTATTAGCTATATGGTAGAAATAAAAAACATTCCTAGATGAAAACTTAACTTTAAACCAGATTTGCATAAAGGATTAGCCTCTTTCCAGTTCAGAACTAGTTTTCAATCTCAAAGTGGGAGAACTGATCTTTATCCTGAATTTCTTTTTGTTCCTTTGGAAATTCAGTTTAATCCAGCTCTCTTAATTTTCACCTTCTCCCTAAACCTTCTAGGCTTGTTACATGATAGCTAAGGATCATTATCCACCCAAGCTGAGGGGGTTTTCCCTTCATTAATTTCTGTAAGAAGATTACCAGTGCTTGTTTGTTGTTGTTTAAGCAAATTATTTCCCTAAGCAATTTGTTTTTCCAACTGGTTTACACTTTAATGCCCTTGATTGAATTTCAAACAAGAGATCAACTTGACCAACCAACTCTGTTTAGGGGGAGTGGAAAAAAAAGAAAAGGGGGGAGAACTTCATGAGAACTGTTTAAGCAAGAAGAGTACTTAAAAATGTGCTCAACCATTCAGTCAGAGATGCATCATAATTAGCAGCTCAGGGCTTGTTTAGTTTTTAAAGTCAAAGTGACCTTTCTTGAAGAAAAAATGCTCTGATTACTACTGATGTGTGTGTGTCACACCTAACAGAGTTTTTTACTCCTTTAGCTCTACATATTTCCTCTCCTCTTCCACCTGCTCCAAACCTGTCTTCATTGGAAAGGTGTCCAAATTTTTGTACATTTAAAAAGAGATGTCTGAAACAAACAACATGAAGATTGGGCATTTACTGCTTGCAGTTCAAATAACATTCTTATTCAAATGGTTATTTTTAAATGAATGCAATCAAGATAATTGACTGTTTCACTTAAGTTTTTAGGCAAGAAATGAAGTATTTAAGCACTCTGGGCTTCTCAGTGAACTTTTTATATATAAATATATATTATATATATATGTATTATATTGTCTGTATAAGCAGCCAAGTTAAGCAGCAAGAGATATCCTTAAGTAACATGTTCCTGAGTAATTATCTTGATTTAGATGATATTATATAATTTTTACCCAGGCTTAGCAGCCACCTCAATAAAAAAGAGACCACTAGTCAAATTTAACTCCATCAACTCCCCGACCAGACTGATGATGCCTGTCCACTAGGTCAAGTTGTGAAATCCATAATCATCTACTGAAGTATTTTTATTTATGGGATTGGAATGTAGTTCCAAGCAAAGCTGGCAGAATCTGACTGTTTTAAAGGTGAACACCACTCCTATACCCTGACTACAATGTGGCTTGTCAACCAGTTTGCCTTTCTTGTCCCCTTACCAGGAACCCCATCTGTTCTACTGCTAGACCTGTTGAACAGACATCACTGGAGCCTCAAGAGAGAAAGCTGTTCTTATACAAACTGCACAGGAAGAACATACATAAAATAAACAACACCACAAAAAAACCTGAAAGAGCAATCAAAACACAGCAATCAAGAGATGAAAAAAACCAAAATAGCCAAAAAAAAAATCAATATAACTTGATTCTTAAGACTGAAATTGCATTTGTGACCTTAGAAGCTTGCAGAACCCCCAACAGCAGCATCACCTCTACCCAGACTGCCTCACACCTAAGAAAGGACCAAGCACTACACAGAAAGGCAGCTGCAGTTTTTACCTGACAGCACAAAGGGATTACAACCCACAAATGCTTAGGGAAGGAATGGACAACTCTATAAATAGTGGATCTTGATGGAATGGGAATTTGTGCCAGTGAAAATGCTGAGATGAAAGAAAAGAAAGTGAGTACTAGTCACAGTGGTAAAATATTTTTTTATAGTGGTAAAATTATAAAAATAAGCAAACAGAGGAAATTAAATTGTTATTAATATTATTAAATGTTCTAAGTTGAGAAGTGAAAGCTATTAACATCCAACAAAGGAGCTCAGGGCTGTGCACCCTAAGCAAGGCTCATGGTTGCAATTCTCTGTGATGACCTTACACACTGTGTGTTTTACATTCCACTGAGGTCTATGCCAGCTAAGTACCTTGGAAACTTTGAGATATGACCTAATATAAATTAACTGTTATGAGGTCATATTAAAACGGGAGGCCCATCTATTTTAACTTCACTAGCTGCAAACAACACAAGTAAATTGAACCATGTCAAGCTATCAGCATGCTGTGGAAATCGTCACTGATGTAGATGTTATATTGCATGAGATTCCCTTTCCTTGTCTTTTTTTTTTTTTTTAAATAAGGAGTATCACAGTATTTCTGACTTTGGTGTCAAAAGGTAGATCAATAAACAGGTAATCATTAGTTAAAACCCAGGATACTCAATCATAAGCATTAAGTTATTGATTTGACATTTATCCTGCCACAGTGTCTTCTCATTAAGTGTTTCAGTAATGTAATTTTGAAATTTTTTTGTTCTTTGAGATCCCTGGATTCTGACAGGGCTCTATGTATATTCAGCAATTTGTAACAATGGCACACTAACATAACTAGGAGACGAATGATAGTAGTTCTGATTTTGGGGTCTGGAGATAAAATTATATGAGTGTATTTCTAAAGCAAATAGACTTTAGAAACAATGAGTTTTGGCACATCAAAATTCAGCACTAAATTCACTAAAAGAAACAGTGTCATCCATTCTAATAAGCATATTCTAATTAATCTACTTTAAAAATTGAATTCAAGCCATATGTATGCATATATTTGCAATTTGTATATAAACAGTGCATATATGGTACAAATAATATAATCTTAGTTTAGGAACAGGATACACCAACAAATTTAATTTCATGATGACACGTACATTCTAACAAAGGAATGTTGTCACTTAAAATAATGTCCACATTTTAATATATCTTTTCCAAATCTCATCTCTTACTGTCAACACCATCAATTTCAGCAGAGCTCCTTCCCCTCTTTCAACATCAAAATGCGGTCCTTCCAGTATCATTATTATCAACCTGAGCAAACTAAATGTGAAAAGGTGCCACTAATAGGACAGCTTTTGACATCACATCTTGAACCAGAATAAGCAAACAGGCAAGTCAAATCTTCAGGGTCAAGCTTTGAAGTCAATTTTCTGACCCGGGAAATCATGTTCTGTGACAGTGATGACAAACGGTGAACACATGCCTTGTATAAATATGTCTATGAATGTTGCCTTACAAACATTCACAGTCACCATCTCACTGGAGCCAACTATGAAAAGAAAAATGGGAAGTTTACACTTTGAACATCTACTGTTTGACACTCTGCTTTGACCAAAAAAAAAATAAAATCCAACTTTAAAATTGCTTTATTTTCTTTGGTACAGTTAAAAATGTAATAAAAAAGCACGCACATACACCTAATTTTCAATTAACCTTTGGCATCTAAACATCCAGAGAGCAGCATAATGTATACAGTGCAAATGTTTTGCTCTTTGGACTACTATGCCTAAAGCACTCTCTAGCAAAGCTTTCTAGGCACAGCACTAAAAAGTCATTGTTTATTGATTTCAAAATCTAACAGACTAATTATATATTTGTAGATGACTTGACAGATTTACAAAACTGCTATATGATTTTATAATGGAACATGCTCATGTTAATCTCCATCTATGGAGATAGCTAGAGGGGGCTGACCTTTATCTCATATTTAAAACACAAGCAATAACTGAAATTCATTTTCAATTTATTTTCCAATCATATAAAAGGAGGGGGAAAAGATTACTTTATTGAATCTTTTTTAGCTGGTAAAAGGTTGGAGACACACAGTCTTGATGCCTTCCAAGGAGCTACAGGGATGGTCTATAGGGAACAGACTTAATCGAATAAACTAATCTTTGCTGTGGAGATTAAGTAGATGGCTACAGCAGTAGAGTAACAGCAGAATGCAAAGTATCAGCAGCACCATCAGCTGCTTTAAAGGTGCTGTAGGCAGTAGGAAAGCTTCCCTGTTGGGTCCACCCTACTGATCCTGCAAATTTGGTAAACTTCATGGAAATTTAATAATGCTGCTGCATTGTGTCTGCCTGCTGAGCAAACAGGCTGGTGCTGCAAGGCACATATGTGATAATTTACAAGGGGTTTTTGGAAGATACAGTAGCTGCTGCTACTCAAGCCTGGGGCCTTTAAGCTGAAGAGAGCATATACAGTGTACATCCTCAAGGTAAATAGTATCTAGAGGTAAGGATGCCTTTCAAAGCAGTTCCTGACAGTTGGTAAAGTGCCTTACTTTGTAAGCACATCTTTTCAAACACTCTTTGATTCCCTATGCCAATACACACATGAAGAACTGAATTAGTCTGGGCTAGAATCTGTCATGATATATGACTAACATATTTCTGCACTTTTATGTTAGCTTAAATAAAAATTGAGTTATTTTGTTGGGTTTCTTGCTCGCCCTGTCTCTTCCATTTAGCACTGAGTTGGAAATCCCGACTAATTACAGACTACACATTTCTGAGGAAATGGCAGAGATGGCACCCTTTCCCTGCAGAAAAGATACTTTTATTATGGCTTAGAAGCAATCCAAAACACACACACTGCTGCTGTGCGTTCGGCCTGGCAGCGAAAAGGGAAGCAAATCAGAGCGGGAGCGACCCAGGTTTCAATGTATACAATGAACTTATTTAATAAGAATAAAAAGAAACATTTCAAAAACAATTACTGCTGCCTTTGGATCCTGGAACTTGAAAGCAAACCGCAGCTGCGCTGCTCATTCCAGCAGCTCACAGTTCACAGGGTAAGCAGCACTCGTCAATGTGAATCAGCTGTGAAATGCAGGGCCGTGCTTGGACTTCAGTTTAAATTGGCCATCCCTGCAATATTGTTATTACAGTTAATAAAAACTCTTGCCTAACACTTTGACCACAGACCAGCGGAGCCGGAGCAGGGTGGGGCTGGGGAAAGGGTACGTGTCAGGGGGCAACACTTAATGCGAAAAGTATTTGAGGGAAGGTGGTTCTGTGGGTTACTTCTAGAGGTGACGGTCTCGCTTGAATATTGATTCCCTATGTGACAGAAAATGTGAAAGAGATATTAAATGAATTTCAAGTATGCTTCAATAGCAGTTTAGCAATAATAGGCGACTAGTGAGGGAGAAGCTTTCTTCCTCTTTGTCAACAAGATATGGGCTATCAAAGGGCAAATAATATATGAGAAAAGCAAAAACATTCAC